TGTCCATCAACAGAATAGGTAAACAAGTTGTGGTCCATACATACAAGGGAATATTATTCAGCCTTAAAAAGGAAGGGAATTCTGACACATGCTACAAGATGGATGAACCTTGAAGAAATTGTGCCAAGTGAAATAAGCCAGTCACGAAGGACTCATATTATATGATTCCCTTTGTACAGACTGAGCATCCCTGATACAGAAATCCAAGATCCCAAATGCTCCAAAATCTGAAACTTTTGAGCACCATGTGACTTCATGTGACAGGTCACAGTCAAAACAGAGTCATAACTTTGTTTCTTGCACAAAATTGCCAAAAACAGTGTATAAAATTATCTTCAGGCTATGTGTATAAGGTGTACATAAAACAAATGAATTTGGTGTTTAGACTTGGATTCCATCTGCAAGATAATCTGATTGTATATGCAAATATTCCAAAATCCAAAAAAAAATTGAAATCTAAAACACTTCTGTTCCCAAGTATTTTGGATAAAGGATTCTCAGCCTGTATGAGACTCCTAGAGTAGCCAAATTCGCAGGGACAGAAAGTAGAATAGAAGCTACCAGGGGCTGGCATGAGGGCATGGGGAGTTAGTGTTAATGGGCAGAGAGTTTCAGTTAGAGAAGAGGAAACCGTTCTGGAGATGGATGGTGGCGACAGTTGCACAGCAATGTGAACGTACTTAATGCCATGAACCATACACGTAAAAACAGGGAAGATGGTAAGTTTTATGTTACCACAGTGAAAATAAAGCAGGGCAATGGAGTCATGGAGCCCCCCCCCCCCATGCTGATGATCCCTAGCTGGAACACAGGGTCCTGGCCTAAGAGGAACATTCTTGGGAAAGGGCCACCAAAGGAGAGACCAAGGGACCTGGGGATGTGCCCCTGACAGGACAGGAGCCTGTCTTCTGGCAGCTAAAAGCTGACATGTAGATAGACACTATGTGGTTTCAGGGAGAACTGGGACAGACCTGCAGAAGCTTAGGGGAGACCGTATAAGGTTTAATTCGAGGCAGAGCTTTCCAACAGCCAGTGCTGCTTACAGCAGGTGGGTTGTGCTGGGAGGTGGGGAACTGTCTGCCACTCAAGAAAAGCTGGGTTCAGATGAAGGCTGGAGAAGCAACTGATACAGGGGCTGCAGAAGAGATTCTCGTGACAGCAGGAACCCCTTGGCTCAAATGACCCCCACAATCCCTTACAACTCACTGTTTCTGACCCCCTCGGTGCCAGGCTAATTGTCCTTGGTCATCATGCCAAGGGGAAGGCACAAAGAAGTTGAACAAAGAATAAGCAGACACCAGTTCTAGTCCTGGCTCCATCAGTGGTTGGCATCTGACCTTGAACATATCACCATTTACTCATCTCTTTAATTAACATATGCCTGCCCTTCTGCACCCCAGCCCTACCCCCAGAGGTGTTGCAAAAATGAAGAGAAGCAAAGACTCCTGACAGAAGAATCCAAATATCATTGCCAGCCCTCCTTCCCTCCCTCCTGGCTCTCTCCTCTTCCTCTACCATCAGGTGTGGTAGTACTTACTAGGGTGCAATGTGGCACACCACTGGTCATGCATGAGATGCTAGCCATGGTACACAAGCATTATCTAATGTTGTGTATTTATTTTAATACACACTAGTGTATACCTTATATTTACAGCAAAAAACAGTTTTTCTTCATGACAGTGATATCAACTTTCTTGTTAAAATAAATTTATAAGTTAATATAGGTTGTGATAAGTTAAAGAAGAGTAAGTAATCAATAATGCAAGAGATATTTGGATCAGGCAAAAAAATCCACTTGAAAGTGGAATGTGAGTAACTGGAGCTTGAGGGCCCCCAGATGGATTGAGGGGGCACAAAAACCTGCCCTTTCAACCCCCAGCAATAGATCCTGAAGGCCTGGAGATCAGACACAGAGAAAACCACAGGCAAAGCCATTTGCTTGGTCCTGCTGCCTGGTTTCCTTAAGGTGCCAAATGCAGTGACTTTACCAATCAATTGACAATAACTGAGAAGTTGAACTTGGTTCTAGAATCTTCCGTGTACAAAATTGTGACCCACCTTCCCTGAGAATCTCCCGTTTTTGTTTTTCCTGATCTCTATCTTCCACCCTAAAGAGGCCATTCCCCATTGAGGAATAAGGAGTATGTCAGGCACTTCCCCAGGAAGTGCAGTTTCTGTGTTTCCCCGAAAATCCTGCTAGGGCTTCTTTTATGGGTAGGTCTTATTTTGGGAGAAACATGGTAAAGAGGAGTCCAGAAAGGAAGCCATGGTGTCCTGTGAATGCCAGGCACTGTGCCATGCAGCAGGGTGATGCTCTTGTCCAGAGTGGCAGTCACCTTCTGCACCCACAAGTAAGGCAGGCTCCCTCATGCCTGTGTCTTAAAGCATGATATGCAGGATCACCTTTAGAGGAACCACCTAGAAACCTGATCAAGGTCGAGTCCCCTCCATGCCCACAGCCATCTGCTGATCACTTCAGTCAAAGGGTCACTCGGTCAGCCTAGGAACACCTGCCTTCCCTAAAGACCAAAAATCAAAGAAGGTTCTAGCTGACCATCAGCCAGAACTCTGAGCAATGGCCCTGGGGCTGGGGCGCCGGGGTCAAGGCTTCCTAGCTGTTGGCCCTCTGATGGGGGTGCAGGGCAGGTGGCATATATCTTCTGACAATGTTCCCTTTCCTCTCTCTTCTATTATTGCCCACACCCCATGCTTCAAAATATTTCACCTATCAAACTGCATGAATGAAGAAATAATTATCTTCCCCATTTTTATCATCAAAGACCTCCAATGGCAGCCAGATACCGAGTTGGTATATTCCAGGTGAAAAGTCAAGAAAATTAGCAGTTTGTTTACCAATGCAGTGATTTGAATATTTGAAGATCCCTTTTTTCATTCCTTTTTCCGGAATCCAGCCTCGAAATACTACGAACCTAATGCTGTCCGACATGTTAAGGAGCTGAGAGTCCAGGCAGCCTAGCTCAGAGACTGGGTCAGCACGTATCTTGCCTTTCAAAGTCAAGAAAACACTGCCATGATGATTCGTATGGAAAGTTGGAGAACGAAAGTTACATTAATTCTTTCTCGAGGGTGGCTTTTTAGAAGCTCTTCTGACAGCAGAACCCTGGATTTCTGTGTGACCAAAGTAGGAGCTGAAAAGTGGCAAGCTTGACAGTTTGCTTAAGACTGATCCTGGTAAAGAGATAGGCTCGAGAATTAAAGATGCTGTAGTCTCTGGGAGGATCTATGAAATTCACCCCAATTGAAAAGTCAGGCACAGGACACAGGCAGACAATTATCTCTCTCTCTCTCTCTCTCTCAACAAATTGCCAATAAACATATGACAGATAGTCAACCTCAGCAACCAAAGAGAGAACACTGAAAATCCCCTTTTCCTATCCAACTGGAAAATGAAATGATACTACCAAGTGTTGGCAGGGTGAGGGAAGTGGGCCCGCTAGCACAGCTGGTAGGACTAGGCAGATAAGCCTTTTCTGGAACAACTTGGAAATGCCCATCAAAAGCTTTAACTATGTATATTCTATTTGACTTAGAAATTACACTTAGCAATTGTCCTAAGGAAAGAATCATAAATCTGTGCAAATATTTAGCCATAATCATTTCTAATAGTATTGTTAATAATAGCAAAAAAAGTTTAGAGGGGAATACAACATAAATGTTCAACAATGCGTTGAATAAATGATGGTATCTCCATATTCCAGAATACTGCACAGTCCTAACAAGTAGGAGTGTTGAGCAATATTTAATGGCATAGAAATAAATGTGCTGTAAAACAGGATGTTGTACCAGCCCATTCTTTTAAACTGTATGTTCATAGAAAAGACTAGAAATGAATGCACAAAAATGTCACCAGTGCTGTTTTTTTCAGGTGATGGAATCACAGGAATTCTTTCTTTATGTTTACATATCTCTATTTTCTAAATTTTCTGCCATGATCAAACTTGGCTTTTGTAATAAGGGAAAAAAATCAATGATATATGTTTTAAAAAAGAACCAGTGAAGTTGCAAGTTACTATGATAGGGATCACAGATGACAAGTCAAGATTGGCTGGGAGGTAGGTAGAAAATGGGAAATAGAGAAATTGAGAGCTGAAGCCCATTGGGACAGAGGATATGTTTATTTCTGCCCAGCAGGAGAGGGTGGAAGAGAGACTGCATAAGTACGTGCTGGAAGGCAGAATCCAACAAGTATGTTGGCCTTCTAGCGTTCTACTGCATGACTGTGGGAAAGCTACTTCTTTCCAAAGCTACACTTTCCAAAGTGCTTTCCCACCTCCGAAGGCTGCTTGCTTTATGAGGGCAGGGCATTATGATGCTGATGCCTCATGGAATGCCCCCCTTTTAGGAAAAACAAATATGATCAGCAATGAGGTGAGGTGAGGTCAGAAATTTGGGGGATAGATGTATCTACCTACCATTATTCCTGGAGAACTGAAATGACTGAATTTAAAGAAATGACTTAATTTAAGGCCTTTGCAGAGAGATCCCATTTGAAATAAGTCGTTTCACTCCTCATAAAATCAGGAATCATCAGGGACAACATGATGGAGATCTAGAAGCTGAAAGTTCTGGTTCCCATCCACCATGCCCTGGCTGTGACTCATCTTCCTCGGGCATTGTGAGAAAGGCAAGGGGATAGGAATATGGGGAAGGCTGTCTTGATCTCAGAGTGGACTCTTGGGAGACACCCTTCAACAAGAATCACTGAGAACACAGGATTTGCTCAAGGCCACACCCATCCCTCCTTCATGCCTCCAGGTCCACTTATATTTCCCACTTCCTTGAACACCTAGTGCCCATAAGCTTGCCCATGGGAAGGCTACAAGGAAGGGAGAAGAGATGGCACTTCTGCTGGGCCCTCGCCAACAAGAAGGCCCTGGAGGGGTAGCAAGGGAGGTGGGACCATCTGGAGCAAGACTGAGGCCTGGGCGAGCTGCGCCCAAGCAGGGAGGGATGGCGGGCAGGCCAGCCCAGACACTGACCTCTCGGCATGTCCATGACGTTGAAGCTGGCCAGCAGGTCTCGGCACCACTGGCGGTCGCCTTCCACCTTGCTCAGCCAGTTGTTGCAGTTGAAGTAGTAACGGAGATGAGGCCGCTTCATGTCGGTCACAATCACACGGTCCAGGTACCAGCTGGCGTTCAAGCCCGTGTTGTCATGCTCGATCCTGGGGCAGAAGCCAACACCCACACCATCATTGGAAGATCTGAAATGACGTCCCCTTCTGCACTGAAATACCCAGATGCTTACTCCAAAGAGAGGTCCACTCATTTTGTTGTGTTGTTACTTTATCTCTTCAACTTGAGTTTCCTCATCTATGAAATGGGGAGACCTTGCAAAGTGCTTGTGCATATTAATGAATGTTACATTGTTACATTGCCTGCAAGGAAACACTGGCTTCATAGAAAATCTAGGATCCCCAAGGCTTGCAGTGAGACCACCTTGATCTTCCCTTTTGAGAGCCTGTCTAATCAGAGCTGCTTCCTTACTCTGGTCTTTGGAAGCATTGCTCCCTCTTCCCACTCTGGCCCAAGTGTGTATACACACACGCACACACACCACTTCCCAAAGCCCAGCTGGGTCAAGGTCAAAAAGGACAGAACATTAAGACCTTACTAAAGGGAAGAGATGACAAGGGAATACACAGAGAGCAGAAGCCAGCTAGACCATCTGACTTGCAGGACATGGCTTGTCCCCTGGGGCTGCAGTTGCCCTTCCCACTGCTATAACACAGTTAAATATGCCCCTCTCTTTGTGATTTTCAGACCCCAGGACAAGCAGGCACTCTTCTTGGTCCCACCACCCAGAGGACCTCATGGCCATCTAGACCACCCGCATCCTGTAGATGTAGCCTGAGCCTCACATGCAAACCACTGATGCAATTTAAAGTTTTTCTAGTAGCCATATTTAAAAAGATACAAAGAAACCAGTGGAAGTAATGTTAATAATATATTCCATTTAAGTCCACTTATCATTTCAACATGTAATTATGTAAACCCTATTAACAAGCTATTTTACATTCTTTTTCTTGTACTAACGCTTCAAAAATCTGGTGTGTGCCTTGTACACACAGCACACCTCGGTTTGGTCTGGCCACACGTCAAGTGTGCAGCAGCCACGCACGTCTGTGGGCTACTGCACTGCGCAGCAGAGATCCAGACTGTTCCAAATCTGGCCCCCAACATCTCCCATGTCCCATGGTCCCTCTCATCCCCTCCAAGGTCTAGTTTCTTCCCCAGAACTTGACCCCTGGGCCTCACTTCATCCCTGCGAGGCTGTAACCTCGCAAGTCTCAACAGGACAACCACAGTTCAGTGCAGAGCACAGCCCAACAGACGGGTGACACACAGGACGTACTGGGCCCTTCCCCACGAGGATGTGCACCTCTGCCTGGCATAGCGCCTGGCACATAGTGGGACCTCAGCTGGCAGTTACCTTTCCCCACACACTGACACCCCCTTCCCAACCCTCCCCTGCAAGGGCCCTGCCCTCCACACAGCCAGTGCTCAGAGCCCTTGTGTGCCCTTTATTAGCTGAAAAAAGCGAATTCATGGTCCTCTATTTTCTAGTGGGAGGGAAAAAAGTCAGGACTAAACCAAAGCTGCATTTGACCCTGGTCTGGTCCCATCAGACCACGGAGGAGCATTCTGACAGATGGGCATGAACTTGAACGGAGGTGGGTGGCAGGGGCGAGGGGGGAGAAAGGGGGGCAATTGAAGGCTCTTCCTCTGCCACAAGGCTAGTAGAGTTATCCCTCCTCGTGCATTCTCAAGAGCCCCCCGAGAATACAAGATCAGGGGTGCTCCCTGTCCAGAGGCATCCTGCAACACGAACTGGCACCTCTACCACTCGCTGAGTGACGCTGGGTGCCAGCCACTGTTCCAAGCACTAACTCATCGAGTCCTGCGGTTAGTACAGATGAGGCGCTGTTATTACAGAGAAGGAAACTGAGGTTTGGAGAGGTGACCCGTCCAAAGTCCCACACTAGTAAACAGCAGAGCAGACACTTATACGCGGATGATTTGGATTCAGGGTCACTGCCCCTAACCACTGTGCTATAGTGTCTTTCAGAGTATGTTTCTGAAGCTTGTGAAAAATTGCCCCAAACTGTCTAACCCAAAGAAATGAATCTCTAATGGGGAAGTTTAGGGCACTTATGACTTAGGATTGGCGGGAAAGATTTGGGTCTTTGGTAACCCCTGGAATAGTGCCTGGAGAGCAAACAACACCCCAAAAGAAAGTGTCGATGGTGACATCAGTTCCTGACCTCTTTTCCTTCGTCTCCACCCCCAGTCCCAGCCAGGGGCCAGACCCTCACCTGATCTTGTAGATGAGGCCCACATTGCTGGTTCTCACGCGGAACACGTCCACATTGGCCTTCTCGAAGGCAGACTCGCTCCTGCAACGAACACGCGCACGGTTAGTGCAGGCCAGTAGTTGACTCACAGGCCTGGGAGGAGAGCCAAGGGCTGGCATCTGCCTTCTTCTTCCATCATCCCCCTCCTGGGAAGAGCTACGAGCAACCGGATCCCATTCTAGATTCCTTTCTGAGAAGGTCTGGAGAGGAGAGAGGCAGGAATAACTAGCAGATTCGTCACTCTCACACTAGGTTCTCACCTGCTCCTTGCTGGGAGTCACTCGGGCAAGCTCAGCAGGCTATACTAGCTCTGTTTCACAAGTCGGTGAACTGCCAGTTGGTAGCAGAGCTGGGACAAGAACCTGGCTCTTCCACTCACGATCTCTCGTGCTCTGCTTGCTCTGAGTTGGGAGGATGGAAGAAGAAGGAAGGTGTGACGAGCACCTCGGGACTCTCAGGCCTGCCGACCTCCTTGTCTCTCCCCCTCACTGGCCTCGCTCTTGCCAGGAAACATGGCAATGGCAGCCCCAAGCGGGTGCAGACCTTGGGTGGCAGCGCATGGTCCTGCCATTCCAACAAGAGAGGAAACACTCAACCCCGAAGCAGCAGCAGGGAAGTGGGGCAGTGAGGGAAGTGCATATCCGGCATTTGCAAGTGGTGTGAGCAGAAGAAAGGACACCTGAGACGGGAGCAGGGTGGTGGCCAAGCAAGTCCAGACTCAGGAGCAGCCTAAAATTCAATCAGCTGAACAAGAGGGCCGGAGCAGCCTCACCGCAGAATCCTCCAGGAGTGGAAGCCTGAAGCTCATGTCGACATCTCCTTCATCCTCTGTGTGGGGCCACCACACCGCCCCACCCCCACCCCCGCCATTCCAGCCCAGGCCGGCTGGCAGCTCTTCCTGCCCCGCAGTTTAGCCCACTGGGCCTGAGGGCTGCGGGGCTCCCTCAGTGCCCACAGCCAGGGCTCTCAGGACCAGCACGCAACCCACGGGGAAAGAAAATCACAGAAGACACGTGCTGATTTACCAGCGATCCGTGTGTTTCAAAATAAAGGGGGAGGTGAAGGGCCTTTCCCCCAAGGCAACAGGCTCAGAGTCCCTTGGTAACAGAAGGCTTTTAAGGCGATTCTGCAAATGGACGCACTGTGTCAAACCATCCGCCCTGGGGAGAAGTTTCCGTACGGTGGGGCGTCATGAGACATGGCGCCCAGGCCCTCCTAAAGCACAGCAGAGCTCAGGACATCAGGAGGCAGCTTTGTCAGGAAAAACAGGCCCCAGAGGAGGAGTCTGGGGCAGAGGGTGAGGAGGAGAGAGAGCAGAACCCGCTGGGTTTTGCCGGCAAGAAGGGGACGAGTCTCGTGCTTGCTGCAGCGCCTGAGCAAGGGAGGGACGGAGGCAGGCACGAGGCCCTGAGTCTCGACCCCGCCATTGCGTAATAAAGATGGAGCGTGTCGTCTGTTGGCTCTTGAGGAAGAACAAGGACGATAAGAAGTCTTCTCCATGAGGCACCAGTAAATCCTCCTTCCCGGGACAATAAGCTTGCCAGATCCAGCGTTTAAAGGGAACTAAACCAAACCAGCAGTCACCGGGGTCTGGCGGATGTGGGAATCTCACTTCCAAGGACCACACCAGCACACCCTGGGTTCAGGGTCAGAGCCACAGCAGCTGTGAACAGCTTGGAAACACGGGGACGTCGCTTCTGCGCGTCAGAATTGTGTGAATGGGAAACCGAAAAAGGAAAAGGAATAAGAGGTATTTTCTGTTTCAATATAGAAGACAAGGCAACCAATCTTTAGAATAAATAGACAAGAGTCTCTACATAAAATATAAACACCTAAAAAAGAGTTACCCTGGGAAGCTGTATAATGAAATACTTCGCAGCCATTAAAAATCGTGTTGTAAAAGAATATTTAATGAAACAGAAACCAGGTTTATGATACAGGCTGAAAAGACAAAACAGTTTAAGAACGGAATGTACAAACAGAGCAATCAATACAAACAGGATACCATCTTCATTTAAAAACAATAAAGAGTGGGAGGATTTATACAAAAATATCATCTCCAGGTGGGGAGACCATTGTGAAGCCTCGGCTCTTTGTTCTTGTCTATATTGTGCTTTAATTTTCTGAGAGGAACACGTATTGTTTGTGTAATTAGGAATAGAACACAATGCCATGTTTCAACAGTTCCCCCGCCCCTACCCCAGCCTGCAGGCACCTGGAGCGAATTACCTAGAAGGAGTTCAGGGAATTCTGAGCTCCCCATCTTCGGAGGGTGCGTGGAATTTGAGAACCAGCCAGCACCAGTGAGTAGGAAGAAAGGAGGGTGAGCAGCCCCGTTGTCAGCCAAAGACAAAGTGTGATTTGGAAGGAAAGCACGTCACTTTCTGGTGCACCTCTGACGAAAGTTCCGGAAAAGAGCAATGTGTGTAACCAAAAACATTTGTACCCCCTTAATATTCTGAAATAATAAATAAAAATTTTAAAGAAGGAAAGTTCTAGAAAAGAAGCTCCAGCAGCTGCAGTCAGTAAAGGCGAGCTCCACGCCTTCAGAAAGGCCCCGCACCCGTGACGGCATCTTTGAAGAACGTGGGGTACCTCCCGACGTGAGCAGGTTGAATGTGGATACCTGCATCCCAGTGTGTGTTAAATAATTGACCGTGGTGCTTTACGGTCACGTGGGGCAGGGCAGTGTATGGAAGCTGGGAGGCCAGAGGAGAAAGATCCAGCAGATGCGCAGAGCGAGGGGCAGGGGGGCTGCTCCACGCTGTCTCAGGACCACACCGAAGTGCTTCTGGGTTCCATGGTGCTTGCAAGGTGGGGACCAACCTCTTTCTGGAAAACAAGGGGACAGTCCTCCGTGTTGCCAGAAGAGGAAGAAAGGGCTGCAGACACACTCAAGGAGGGGGCTGGGATAATCCCAAACAAGCCCCCAACCGTAACACACTCAGAGATCAGATTCCCAAATCCCCACTCCGGGTGAGTGAGAATGCAGATGCCTGTGGGTTTCAGAAAACTGGGTGTAGTGAGGAAATAGCAAAGGACAGGGGGTTTCTGGTCACAGGAAATATTAGAAATACAGACATCTTCATGATTCCTTGTGGGAGGCCAGGGCCTCACGATGGCTCCTGGTCAAACCTCAAATAAAGGTTAAGGCAGTGCACAGCCCCTGCCGGTGCAGGGACCCCACTCGGAGGGCCTGCACAGGGCATTTTAGCCACCAACCAGGCAGAGCCATCAGGCTAAAATGCCAAGCATTCTCTGACACTCTCAGATGGTGAATTCTCAGCAGAAGAACCATGTTCCAGAGATACATGAGATCCCATCCTTTTGCCATATTCTGAGCATGTGACCCAGTGTTGGAGGTGGCCCTGGGGAAGGGGGAAGGGGAAGAAGGAACCCAGAAGATAGGGGCTTCCTCTGGGAGCCCCTGCTGTTGGCACCTAACTGGGGTGGGGGTCAGGGTGGAGGTTCGCTGTTAGGGGATCTAAGCCAACATGTCACGTTCTTTGCTGCCCTGGGGAGGGGTGCAGTGAGTACTAAAGAATGTAGACACCAGACCACAAGGCAAAACAATCAGCATTTAACATTAGGCACTGAAGTTCCTCTTGGAGTAGGGAGTATTTTGTATTGGAAAAAAGTCCAGATAAGGGATTTGGGAGTGGAAGGTGAACCCCTGGGGCACAGGGGGAAAGGCACAAGAATGAGCAGGAACCGAGGGGTGAGGTAGAAGAGAGAGAACGTGGGAGAAGCAGGAGGGAGTGGCATGATGAGACATGGCCGGAGCTGCAGAAGAGGGTCAGGGAGAAAGTACGAGAAAGGTGGTGGCTGAATCTTAAGACGGGGCTCTAGCATTCCATGTGAGTTGTCTGCATGCTGTGGCGTGAAGGCCGTCTGGTCTGCTGCCATCAGTGAAGTCTGCTACACACAGAAATGCTGTGTGTGTGTGCTTCGTGGGTGTCACCATGTGCAGAGGACAGGAGAGCAGCAGTGAGGGGTGAGGAGACTGCAGGACCAGTGGGCGCTCTCAGCCAGACCCCAGGCACAGGGTAGGGTGGCCAACGGCCTGAGCTAACTATGTCTAAATCTCACAGAGCACAGGGCCCTCAGCTGCCATCTGCCTCTGGGTCACATGGGCAGCCTGGAATTCCTCAGAAAGCAATGCTCCCCTCCCAGATCCGTGGTGTCCATCTTGAACAGAAAGGTCTTAGAAGTCAAGGGCCGTGTCTACGCCATTCTCATCTCCCTCCGTTCCTGCTGCAGCGGGCTCTGGCCTTCTCCTTCCCCATTCATGCCACTCACCACTGTGGGCAGAGGATCTTGGCCGCCGTTTAAGTCGAGCCTCCACCGGTCGCCTTTCCAGCACGGCCTCTCCAGTCCGGCCTCCCGGCCTTCCTGACCTTTCTCCCTGCCTCCAACCCCACAGCCCTCTTCCAGCCCCCTCGGCCTGCGGTGCCCCTCGCTGCCTCCAGGCCTTTGCAAGCTCTTCTTCTTAGTCTGAAGGACCCGCTTTCTGAATCCTTCTTACCACTTGAGACCCAGGCTATGTCCCTCCCTGAGAAGTGTCTCTCTCTGGCCGCACGGATCCCACAGGCCCTTGCCCAGCTCCGACCAGTCACAGAGAACTGGGATCGATGCTGGCGGTGGAGAGCAGACCTTCCCTCGGCCCTGCTCTAGGCTCTGGACTCTGCTCTAGAGCCTGCCAGCCAGCCAGCCTGGGGTCTTGGCCAGACCCGTGCTCTTACTGCCCGACCTGCGTCATGGCACAGACACAGGCAGAGACGCCCACCGGCAGGGCCCCAGGAGGGATGGAGGGTGTTGATTCCTGTCCTTGGGGCTGGCCCGGAGAAGCTGGCTGTGTCCCTGTGACCTCCTGCCCTGCCAGGTCATGCCTTGGACCCTTTCACCGTGACGCAGCCCTTCCCTTCCTATGAGGGAGCTGGAACTCAAACTCCTGGGACCCAGGACTCGGTGGCAATCCTTCCCAAAGCAGTATAAAAGGTGACATGGGGCCTTCCTGAGAGGACACTTTGACAGATGGGAAAGGTGAGGAGAAAGAATCTGGATGCATTAAAGGAGGAAAGGGAGGACCACCACAAAGGGAAAATGGTTCGTTTTGTTTTGAAAAAGACAAGCTGGGGACTCCTGAAACCCCTGGGCAACTCCCCAGTGTCAGCAGCTTCTTCCTGCCACGGGGCACTCTGGGAGGACACATGGCAAAGAGGATGGAGGTTTCATGTATTCTCTTTACCGTGCCCACATCACTGGAGGGACAGACTTCCACAAGCCAGCCACGCTGCGCGTAAGTGGTACAAGAAGGCAGGTACCCTGTTCTGCGGAAATGGACAAAATAGGACGTTACGCCTGTCTCGACCCTGCAGCACTGATGCCACAGCCCACCTCCCGGGTGAACGTGTTGTGTGCAGAGGCACAGAGCTTAGGGATCTCCTGGTCTCTGGACCCCACGCCTCTACAGCTTCACCCGCCTCCCCTGGAGATGCAAGGCCATAAACCCCAAGGTCACAACCTGGAGCCCTTAAAGGGAGTCCCACACACACCCCAGGGCCACAAGGTTGAGAGAAATGTCCACACCAAGAACGTGGGCTTGGGGGACCAGCTTCACCATCAGAAAGTTTCATGATCCGAGCTCCTCCCTAGGCCTCAGTTTCCCCATGAACAGGTTAGAATACAGCATCTGATCATTCTCTGTTCTACCCAGTACGGATTGATACCAGCCATCGAGACCACTCCTGAGGTCCCTAAACCTCTCTGAAATTCTAGGGTTCTGCTAAAGTGTCCTCAGGTTTGCGGTGTGAACATCTAGGAGGGCATGTATGTGGTAGGGCAGAAGATCGAAAAGCAGACGGCAGCTCCTGCTCCTACCATGTGATACTAAAGTGGAGGACACAAGGCGTGCACGTGAGCACACACGCAAGTGACCCTGCGGCTGGCGAGTGTGTGGTAGCTGGCGCCACTCCTGGGTCACTCCTCAACACATAGCACGTTAAGGTCATGGCTCCCTGACATGCATGGTCTTCCCAGCATTCCTTTTCCCAACACCCCTGTGGGGATATATGAGGAAACCAAGGCCTTGGATGCAAAGAGATCTGGCCCAAGTGATGTGGAACTAAGTGGTAAAGAGAAACCTAGACCCAGGTTTCAGGAGCCTGAGTGTTTATTCTCCCTCATCAAGGGACAGCTAATGTGGATTCTTGGGAATTCTGAGATGCAAATTAGGCATTACTATTCACAAAAATCAAGAGAGGAGCTGAGGAAAGCGAATAGGAGGCCCCCAGGAAATTCCAGACTGACTCACGGTCTGTCATTGGTAGAGGTCCCCTGCCACCTAATACACCTGTGGTCAGACGTGCCTTCTCCCCATGAAGCAGGCCACCCTTGGGTTCCAGAACCGCATCAACCCAGATTAACAGCCCAGGACCCCATGGTACTCACTTGCTGGTGAGATGGAGCTTGGGAGAGGTCCCATTCTCTCCAAAAAGTGTGATGAAGACGTTGGCATCTGTCCCTGCCCCGCGAACATCCCCTGTGGCCGTGACCACCTCATATACTGGAGGAGAAAGGAGAAGACAGACTGAAGTCTTAGGAAAAAATAAAAATAAAAAAAAGACAGAATCCTATTTGGGGCCTGGGGAAACCAGAGCTCCTGCCAGCCCCTCAGGAGATGCCCAGGCACCAAGGACTCTGGGAACACCCGCTGCACCCTGCAACCCTCTGGGCCAGGGCCAGACACACACCACTGCTGCAAGACCAACACCTCACACTTAAACTGTGCACTCGCTTTGCAGAAGAAGAGCCTAAGGGCAGGGGGACAGGCCCAGGTCACACCAGAGCCCAGCCCAAAGCCTCCCACACCCATTCTGTGATCTCCCAGCACAGCATATTAATGCCTCCTGGACGTGGCCTTCTGCAGAGCCTGCACCTGGCTCTCAGCTTCCTCCCACCCTCTACACAACTTAGCTGTGGCCAGCCCTCACCTCCTACACCCTCTGGGCCCTGGCATTTCAGTCACTGAATAAGCCACCCTAGGGCTGGGTATGCTGAGCTCTGCAGGGGGTCTCTCTTTGGCAGGGAACTGATTTCCCTCTCTTCGACCCCTTGGAGCTTGCTCTGTTTACTTTTGTCAGGGCATCAGTATAATTAGAGCCTTGTGCTCCCTTCCCAGGGAGCAAGGCCAGACTGCTCTGCTTCTCAGAGACAGCGGAACACACTCCCGCCTGGCTAAGCGAGCAGGAGGCATTAGGAATCTCCCGAAGAAGAAGCCCTACGGAAGCGTTGGGAAGGCTGGAGACACGTGCCCTAGACCCACTTCCACACACAGCTCCCAGAATCACAGCCCAGAACAGGCCTGGGGACAGTTGCTGCCACCAGCCACCCCAGGGCCACGTCATCTCTGCCAAGACCACAAAACAGCCAACATCACTTTTCCCTCCTGCTGCTTCTCATGTCTCCAAAATAAATGCCTGTCCCCAGCCCATGTCATTATGAGGCTCACTTCTGAGTCAAAGCCTTGCACTGGAGCAGCTGACTCGGGGAAACTGAGGCACACGTCTGCAGCAGGGGAGGCCAAGCAAAACAAAATCACCCTACACTGGGAAGATGGATTTCACAATGTGGGGGGCCTGCAAAATATGGGGAGGCTGTTTAAAATATTTGGGGCATATTACAGATGTCTACCACTTCATGGGACTATATTAATACCAATACTTAATAATTACAGTAACAAACAATATTGATTGATCACTTACTATTTACCCTGAGCTAAGGGCTTTACATATATGACTACACTTGATTATCAAAGCAAACCTATAGTTATTCCTACTTCCAGTCTTTCCAGGCACGTCCCCAGCCAGTTGCTGAGTATATTTGAGCTGCCCCAAGGTGACCCAGCTGATTAGAGGATATTTTGAAGTTAGACATTCATCATTCAAACATATCAAATCAGAGCCCATTCCACATTTGTCCTGGGTGCAAATGGCAATGTAAGGTATGGGGGAACTGAAGAATATTAATAACTTTGAGCACCTCTTGTGTGCGAGGCATCATGGCAGGTGTTTTATAGATGTTACTCATTCTACAGCATGCCCACGAGCTGGTATGGGCTGGTGGAAAGTACTTGACCTCAGTGCCACAGAGATCTGGTACAGCCACGGTCTCCTCCACTTAGAGCAGGTTACCCTTTTTTTTGACAAGTTCCTATCTCTCTGAAATACCTGGACAATAATTATCTGGTTTGCAGGTATTCTGGGGATTAGAGGTGATGTATGTAAAGCCTCTGGCACATAAGAGACTCAATAAATAATGGCCTGGTATTTTAACTATTGTTGTATATACGGAAGGTCCATTTTGGCTGTGGGAACACTGGGAGCTTGTTCCTTTGGCAGATAGGATGTCAGCTCAACTAACAGCACACGATGCACATGTACTCCAGAAGCCCTAATTCTCCTGTGCTCCTTCCAGGCCTGTGCTGTCCCAGGAACAGGAATGTTTGGGGGTGAGTGGACCTTTGGTTTTGATGAAGGTTCTTGGTTCTGATGAAGGTCCCCACCGAGACACCGCGAAGGGGAGAAAGGAAGCAGTACCTATGCACAGCTCCTTGTCTCTTGTGATGACCAAGATTTAATTCTTCACAGTCCATACCACAGGGGAGCCTGACCCTCAACTAACCCCTGGAGCCCACCTCCTGGCCCTGCTGAGCACAGACCTGGGGCCCGAAGTGTTGCCCCCACATCTTGCACATGCTCAAGGGCATCTCCAAACCAAATGTCCACAGAAGAATGACCAGCCAGGTGGAAATCCTAAAACCACATTACATGCAAGCAGACAAAGAGGCCTGGGATGCTTGGCTTACAGAAAAGGAAAGCTGGGGCACAGGGGAGGGATGAGGAGACTACCTCCATAGTTGATTCAGGGTACACAGCTACTTCTTCAGTAGGACACTAACCAGGAAAACCCTGAGAAATCAGACTTAATTAAAATTAAGACAATCAAGAGAGTGACATGGCAAGCCACAGACTGGGGAAGATATTTGGGATGCATATGTCCAATAAAGGACTCATAGCCAGAAGATACAAAAATTCACATAAATCAATAATAGAAAGAGAGAGCACATGATTTTTTTCTATGGGCAACAGGTTTTTTAAAAAGATAAGCATATGCTTAACGTAATACCCAGAAATTTCACTTTTAAGTATTATACTTACCCAAGAGAAATAAAAACATATCCACACAAAGACCTGCACACAAATGTTCATAGCAGCTTTATTCCTAACAGACCCACACTGATCACAGCCTAGATGTCCATCCGCAGGTGAATGGATAAACAAGCTGTATTATATTCATATAATGGAGTACTACTTGCAGGTAACAAGGAGTGAACTACTGACATGTACAATACAAATGAAACTCAAGCATGTTATGTTAAGCAAAAGTCAGACACAAAATTCTACATACTTTGTAGAATCCTGTGCCATTTATATGAAACTCTAGAAAAGACAAATCTAATCTATTAAAATAAGAAGCAGAAAAGTGGTTGCCAGGGGTTGTGAGCAGGGGAAATTGACTGGGAAGGGACACAGAGAACCCTTGGAAGCTAATGTAAATGTTCTATATATTATTAATATTGGCTAGTGATTACACAGAGCTAACACTCATCAAACAGGACATTTAAAACAGACACATTTTTATTGTAAGTAAATTATACTTGAATGAAGCTGAAAAATGGACAAAAGACTTAAACAGGCATGTCACCAAAGAGGATATCCAAATGGCCAACATACATAAGGAAAAGTTGTCAGCATCATTATTCATCAGGGAAATGCAAATTAAACCCTGCCTCATACCCACCTGAATGACTAAAAGTAAGAAGACTGACAATACCAAGTACCGGCAAGAATGTGGAGTTATTTGTCACTCTCATACATGATGGTGAGCATGCAAAGTGACACAAGCACTGGTAGCTAAGCATATGCTCACCCTGTGACCCACCACTCTACTCCCAACTGTCAATCCAAGAGAAATGAGTGCAAGAGTCCATAAGAATATGTGGACAAGATTTGTAGCAGCTATACTCCTAACAGAAAAAAAAAAAACAAAACAGAAATAACCTAAATTTCATCAATAATAGAATGGTTATGACAAACGGTGACATGCATATGTATAAAATGCAATAGTACTCAACAGTAAAAAGGAACAAACTATATAATGAGTCACAACATGGATAAATCTCTAGGATATAATATTGAAGGAGAAGCGAGACACACAAAAAAGTGTGCACTGTATGATTCCATTTATGCAAAGTTCAAGAACAGGAAAAACTAATCGAGGATGACAGAATCGGGAGAGCTGTTACCTCTGGGAAGGGGTGTGAGGGCGCTTTCTGGGGGCTGGACATGTTCCATATTCTGATCTGAATGGTGGTTACACAGGCATGTACCTACATAAAATTTCATTGCTCTGTAGCTTCATGAGTTTTGTGCTGTGTGTACATTCCTCAATTTAAAAACTCTAAAAAAAACCACTCAGTTCAGATAGCTAAAGGACTATCTTGTGGAAGACACAGGATTCCGTTTGACTCCATAGAGGAGGAACCAACTAACAAAGTCCCCAGTCAGTACAAAGACCAGTCAACAGCAACCTGGTGCTGCTCCCAGCACAGAGCCTAGCACGCTGGGAGGGGCTCAGGTAATATTTACCTGTTACCTGGATGAATGAATGAGCAAGCATATGAATGAATGAAACAATCAACGAAATGAATATGGCCTATGGGACTAAATTGACCAGGCTTCGAGTCTCAATTCTGCCGTGACTGGCTATGCGATTTCAACCGGATGTTTTACGAAGGTTCAATTTCCTCATCTCTGAAGTAGGGAGAGATTCTTCCTTGAAAGGTTATGGTAAGGATTAAATCAAATAAAACAATATTCTCAACACTCATACTCATTGACCTGGCATTTCCACTTCTGAAAATTTATCTTACAGACACTCTTCCACAGTTGCACAAAAAGATACGCAATCCATAAGTGGTTACCATCGTAATCATTATTGTCGACATGGTTCCAATGCGTCCCCTCTAAAATTCAGGTGTGGCCAATGTGACAGTATTAAGGGGAGGGGCCTTTAGAGGTGATTAAGCCACGAGGTCTCCTCCCTCGTGAATGGGATCAGGTGCCCTTCTAAAGGGCCTGATGGCGGGATTGGGTCCTCTCTTGACCTTCCGCCTCCTGCCCTGTGAGGACGCAGCAAGAAGGCCCTCACAAGACGCTGCCACCTTGATCTTGGACTTCGCAGCCTCCAGAACTGTGAGAAATACATTTCTCTTCTTTATAAATCACCCAGTCCCTGGTATTCTGTTAATAGCAACACAAAGCAGACTAAGACTGAAATCACTGCCATCATTTCCACTGACAACACCCCTAAGGGGCTGCCCTGGGAAACCGTATCCCAGGAGACACCGATGACTCCTGTCTGGGGTGCAGCGGGGACATGCCCCCAGGGCTAGCAGCCTGTGCAGGGCCGGCTCTGAGGTTCCTTCAACCCTCAGGTTCTGATTTGAGTCACCGTCTTCCCGTCATGTCTTGGTGAGCAGACAGACCAGGGTGGCTGGCTCAGCCTGATCTCAAAGCACTGAGGGGGTCCCCTCCCCTCCCCCACCTGTTGGGGAGCTCCAGGGTGGCCAGAAGGTGGCCCAAGGAACAGAGAGGTGCACCTAGGCTTTTCCTCTCTTCTTCGTCCTCCTCATCACGTTCACCAAGATTCTCCACATAACGCTAGACCTTAGAGCTCAAAGGCATCATCCACATTTATTGCTGGTGCCCAGCATCAGACTGGGAAGTCAGCGGTTCTCTTAGAAAAGTCAGCGTGACACTCACCTCTGCTTGCTCTTGTCCAGCTGTTTTTACACAGTCGAGATTGGGCAGTATAAGAGCAAGGACCCGCCAGACCAGCCAGATTGGAATTCAAATCCAGTGCTACTTAACTAGCTGTGTGATCTTGGGCAAGTGACTTAATCTCTCTGAGCTCAGGTTTCTCACTTGAAAAAGGATATAATGACCCCAGCCTGCCTCACTGGGTAGTTGTGAAGACAAAATTGGTTAATGTGAGTAAAGTACTTAGCTCAGCGCCTGGTGCACAGTGCATTGGTTATTATATTTGGCAGCATTGTGAGATGAAAGAGGGAACGTGCCTTGGAAAGGGTATTTGAAATACTTGTCCTCTATGCTATCTGTGACCTTGCTCAAGTCACCTAATGTCCAGGAGCCTCGGTCCTTAACCCATGAAATGGGACCAATCCTGCCTTGGCTGTTCGCAGGGATCCTGAAGATCAAACGTGAGATTGGAAGCAAAAAGGCTTTGAAAAGGGTAATAAGAAAAGGGACCATTATTGTCACACTGAGGCACGTGGAGCCCATGAACGAGGTGGACAGAGTGCCAGATGTGAGAGGTTCTAGAATGTTCTCACCAGCAGCCATGGGGGCTAAGGTGGAGAATCCCCCCGGAAGCTTGGAGCACTTGTCAGGGAGGCTGCCCCATGGCCCGCCTCACTGCCCCTCCCCTCGCTAGACGGGCAGAGCTGGGAGAAACAAACCACATGTGCTGGGAGAGGGTGGCCTAGGCCTTCGTAGTTCTAGACCCCTGCCTTCTTCCACAGTCCCCACCTCCCCACCCCAGGGGTGCCCAGGACACCACACCTGAGCCACGCCCTTCCTGGGACCACCTCCTGAGACCACCTCCTCCGAGCCCGGGTCGTGCAGGGGATTGGGTGACAAGGGCTAAGGACCAGTCCACCCTCAGGGAGTGCAGGTGGCTGCAGCTGCAAGCCCCACACACCAGCCATGCGGGAAACAACGGAACAATTGAGAATTGGATATAACCAAGGAACCCACAGTGGACTGGAATCAAGGAGGGCTTCATGGAAGAGGTGGGACCTGAGCTGGGCTTTCAAAGCTGGAATAGGAGGTGGGGGAAGGGGAGGATGAACAAACCCAATGCAGGCACAGAGCACGCATTCGACATTTGTTGAATGAATGAATGAATGAATGAATGAGTGAATGAATATGGTATTCACGGGAACTAGTGAGCCACTGGCATGCCTTCAGGGACCAGGCAGGCAGCGCCAGTGAATAAAACAGACCTAGTGTGAGATGATAAGGAGCAGTGGAGACTGGGACAAACTGGATGCCCCTGGGCATTCACAGACAAAAAGATTTCAAAGTACGGAAAAGCAATATATATATATATATATACTCTGCAGGCCAAATTTGGCTCCTGGGTCCCAGGTCGCCACTTCTCTGGTTTACCTGGCAAGGAGGCGGAGCAATTGGAAGCAGCTTCCACACGGCCCAGTGGAAGATGAGACTAAAAGGACAAGGCCTGGGGTCCGGAGCACCAGCTGCCGTCCACATACGGGCCGGGCATCTCCTCGCAAAGCCCCAGCTGCCCATCTCCATCGCCCATGGCGGGCAGCAGCCTCCAGCCCCTCTGGACACGAGATGAAGGGCCAGCTTCCTCCCCGACATCGCTCCGCCACCCAAGCGGCTCCCAGCACTGCTGCAGACCTCATCTGTGGGGACCAGGCTGGAACGTGGCTCTGGGGACGCTCAGGAGCTGCAGAATGTTCTAGGCTATTCTCTACCACTAAGACTGTGTGACCAAGGGCAAGTCGCCTCCCCTCTCTGCACAGTGGGGACCCCAGCGTAATGCCCGCCCTCCGCCCCTGTCTGAGGGGATGTACTATGGACTCGCAGGATAATCGGTGAGAAAGGGCTTGAGTCGGAATCCTGCACCGACTCCCGCAAAGCGAGGGACCCATGCCCCGGCCACTCTGCCCCGAGGCCACTCTGCCCCGAGGCCACTCTGCCCCGAGGCCACTCTGCCCCGAGGCCACTCTGCCCCGCCACGCCCCCGCAGGGCCCAGGACCCGCACCTTTGGCCTTGTAGTACTCGTGCTGCAGCTCCTCCTCGTCGTCCTCCGAGGCGTAGTTCAGCAGTTCTGCCTCATACAGGGCCAGGAAGTCGATGTCCTTCTTCCGCTTCTTTTTCTTCTGAGGCATCATTTTGCCGGCTGCCCCCCTTGCCTGGCCCCGGTGGGCTCACTGCGCCACCTCCTCGAGCCTCCCAGGACTCCAGGCCCTCGTTCCCTGGGCTCCAGCCCCCACAGGCCCTCCTGCCCTTCAGGTCTGGGTGGGCCAGTGTTCCCTGCCTTTCTCAGGTCCCTGTGCCCAGGGCGCTTCTCCTCTCTCTCTTCTCTGGCCCCTGAGCCGGACCTCCCTGCTCCACCTCTGCCCTTCCTGGCCCTGCCCCTTCCGCCACCAGCCTCTCGCCAGCCACCTCTCTGTCCCTGCCCTGGGGTTTCTCCTTGGGCCTCATCTCTTATTCATGGGGACTGAGGGCAGGCTCTCCCCCTTTCCCCCACCCCTCCCCACTGGCCCCCTCTCCTCCCTCCTCCACGGAGAATCAGGTGACATAGAGCTCTGGGCTTCCGCTTCCCACCTGGCCTCACAGCAAGGGGCCCACCTGACACACCCCCTCCCCAGCCCCCCCAGAAGCAGGTGGAGGCTCCCCCCAAGGAGATCCCCCAGCCTCCCAGCCCCCCAGGGCCCTGAACAGCGCCCCAGGGCCAGGGACCTTCTGAGGAGGGCAGGGCCCAAGTCGCCAGGCTGGGAGCCTCCGTTTCTCTGCATTATTCATGGACCCTGCTCTTCTTACGGAGCAGGCGGGGTTCTTGCTGGATCCTTCTCGTTCTCCCTCTCAGCTTCCATCTCCTCAAGACTGCGGGCTTCCGGAAGTGTCCGCTCAGCCAGGTGAGAGCTGGGCACTTCAGAGACGCTGCCCTCACGAGATCTCAGATGACCCGCAAAGCATTTACTGAGTCCTGAGTCACTGCGCTTCCCAGGACCTGGGGAAGCCACTGAGCCTCAGGACCCCCAGCAACGCCCAGACAGGCCAGCAAGGGGCACCCGCATCTGTCTTAGCAGGAGCCCCCAGCTTCCCTCGTTGCTCTCTGCGCTTGCAAATGGAAAGGGCCACTTGCCTTGCCCACCCTCAGCCCCACTTGGGGACTTCTGGGTCAGTCAGCAAGGAAAGTTCCTGCGTGGCCACTAGACTCTTTTGTCTATTTTACTAAGATTTTATAAAGGCACTTAATTGCTATTAAGATTTTTTATGACATGAGTTCTAAGATTTCTATATAAATCCTGAAATACTAGAAAATATCAATTCACTTGAAACTCTCATTCCTCTGTCTTTGCAGTGCGCCCAACAGTGGCCTGGGATCAGGCCTCTGTTTTCCCTTTCATAAAAGAGGGATAATGACACCCCCCCAATGCATATTCAGCACTTGGAGAAAGTACTCAGAAATCAGAAGCCTGTAAAACACATTAGAGGCTTAGCAAATGCCCACACCTCTGGATGTTTGTGTCCTCACCAAAACTCATTTACTGAAGTCCTGCCCCTAAGGTGGTGGTATTAGGAGGGAGGAGGACGTTTGGGAGGTGATTAGGTCATGAGGGCGGAACCCTCACGGATGGGATTAAGCCCTTATAAAAGAGGCCGCAGAGAGCTCCCTCCTTCCTGTGACGTGAGAACACAGCCATAAGACGGTCTGTGAGCCAGGAAGCAGCCCCTCGCCAGGCACTAAATCTGCTGACACCCTGATCTCGGACTTGCAGCCCCTAGAACTGTGAGAAATAAATTTCTGTTGCTCCTAAGCCACCCAGTCTAGGGCATCCTGTTTCAGCGCCCAAGCAGACTAAGACAGCTCCTAGTCCAGGTCTCTCTCTTTCTTTATTCTGCATGGGGCAGTTCGATGCTTCGCTATGATCTCAGATTGCTCCAGAAGCCTTCCTTCAGGTCACACGTGCAAGGCCAGCCTCTGTGCTCTCCTTCCCTCCGTGGGACCCGGCCCACGGCAGCCCCCCAGGGGCCTCAAGTTCACAGACCCAGACGTCTGCTTCCTGCCAATTTCCTGGAGGAAGATCGTCTGGGCCTGTTTACTTGTCAGCTCCTCCCCTGCCAGGCCCAGCCATGAGTCCTGTAAGGGCCCGGATCTTGTCCCCCTGTCCACTGTGGTGTTCCCAATACCTATAGCATGCCTGGCACACAGTGGGATCCAGTAAGTGTTTGTTCAGTGAATGAATGAATGAATGAATGAATGAATGAATGAATGAATGAATACACACGTGAACAAATTGCAGGCAGAGCTATAAAGCAGCCATGAAAATGAAGTCCAGAGCCCAGAAGGAAAACAGTATGGGCTGAACAGAAACCACACTTTAAATGATATATTGCTAAAGTGAATGTTCCAGAATGGATACCATTCTGAGCACATTTGGCCTGGAGAAGAGGACATTTCAAAGGTCCGTGAGAGTCCCCTTCCCAAGTGTGAG